GTTTCCTGCCCTTCCTCCCTCCCTCCCCTTGAGTCTAGCTCCGGTTCCTAGCATCTCCCTCCTCCTGAAGCCAAACTGAGCTCTGCACCTCCCTGCCCCCACTCCCTCCGCAGCCTAGCCCAGCACCCTGCACCTCCCCACTCCCGCAGCCCAGCTCAGCCCAGCATCCCGCACCTCTTCACTCTTGCAGCCTAGCTGAGCTGTTTCCCTGCACCTCCTCCCAAACTGCGCAGACATTCTGAGCCCAGTGTTGATTCCCTGCATGTCCCTTCCTCCCTCCCCTTGAGTCCAGTGCCGTTTTCCTGGCATCCCCCTCCTCCTGCAGCCCAGGTGAGCCCAGTGCCCCGCACCTCCCCCCCTCAGCCCAGCATGGCACCCTTGCCCTCCCCTCGCTATGCCTCTGCCGGGAGCCCAGAACACCTAGCTGCATCCTCCGCCCAGCCCAGCCCAGCCCAGGGCTTGGGGGACCCAGCACCACACAGGCACTCCAAGAGCCCGGAACACCCCGGTAACCATGCTGAGGCCTGGTACTTTTTTCCCACGGACTGGTACTGGGCACGGCCCATAGTTTGGGAAATGCTGCCATACACCATTCACAATGGCTACGTCTAGATTGCATCCCTTTTTCGTAAAAGGGATGCAAATTAGACGTATCGCAATTGCTAATGAAGCGGGGATTTAAATCTCCCCCGCTTCATTAGCATAAAAATGGCTGCCGCTTTTTTCGGCACGGAGCTTTGCCGGAAAAAAAGCGCCAGTCTAGACGCGGATCTTTGCCGCTTTTTTCGGCACGGAGCTTTGCCGAAAAAAAGCGCCAGTCTAGACGCGGATCTTTCGGAAAATAAAGCCTCTTAAAATAAGGGATCTTTCGGAAAAGGCTTTATTTTCCGAAAGATCCGCATCTAGACTGGCGCTTTTTTCCGGCAAAGCTCTGTGCCAAAAAAAGCAGCAGCCATTTTTATGCTAATGAAGTGGGGGAGATTTAAATCCCTGCTTCATTAGCAATTGCGATACGTCTAATTTGCATCCCTTTTACGGAATAGGGATGCAATCTAGACATAGCCAATGAGAAACAGAGACAGATTTAAAACTTCTGTAGCTGTGACTATTGCCTTCAAACATGTCTGTCAGATTCAAAATGAACCACAGAGAACCAAACAAAATGAATGAGCTTTACACCTTGCTGTGGAGTCTGATAGATTCACTTTGGGTACTACCAAAAGTAATGACTTGCAAAGGCAAAGTCCTGCCACGAAGGCTATGTCTGCATAATGGACTTTAGTATGGCACAGGCATACTGCTGCACCTGCACTGCTGTAAAGTCTCCCCTGTAGCTGCTTATGCCAGCAGGAGGGAGAAAAATCTTGCACAAGTATAATTAAACCATCCCCAATGAGCGGTGGTTGCTATGTGTCTCCTGTTCTCCACATCGGCACTTTTGTTGGTGAAATTTATGTTGGTCACACAGGGGTGTTTTTTCCACACTGTTCACTGATAAAAGTTTCACCAACAAAAGTGCTAGTGTAGGCAAAGCCTGAGAGAACCAAATCTCATTCTGTGCGCTTACTTCAGCTGCTTCGTAAAAGGATAACATGAGGACTGGCCTCTCAGATAACTGGTTCCCAGACTATTCAGAAGTGTTAAAGATAGATAATCACGTCTGCATTTGAAACCAAAAGGAAACAGGAAATCAGTGCCTAATGTTGTGGGTTCGCTGTTAGCCTTCTCAAGAACCAGCTGTCTGCACTCTGCATTATTTTTAGTTTATGGCCGCGTTTCTCAAACTGTGGGTCCCGACTCCCCGGGGGGGTTGCGAGCAACTTAGAGTGAGGTCACTGTATCACAAAGTTTGAGAACCCTTGGTTTATGGGATTCTCAAGTGGAGGATGCCCTAAATATACAGGTAATCCAGCCTGCAGGCAACAAAGGTATGAATGACCAATGCAAGAGACAGAGTAGAGAAGAGGCCTCCTGGCCAGCCCAAGATAGGAAGGGTACGATGAGCCACCAGTGCTAAAAGACAGTCCATGTGCAGCACTGGAACCAAAAGAACCCCGAACCTCTGTAGTAATGAGAGGCAGGTGTACACCCTCACTAGAGAGGAGCAGAGTCCGATTATTGCTCTGTCTCTGTATATTGATTGTAGTGTGGGCCACTGACTGCAGTGGGAGCGGGCCTGGCTGACAGCACTATCTGAGCATCTCCCACAAAAAGTTAAAGCTTGTCTTCCCACTGAAGTCAGCAGGGAAGTGTTGTCATCAGAGGGAGTAAGACTGAGCTTGAAAGAAGGATGATTAAGGCAAAATACGAGCTTTTCCCTGCTTACTGATCTTAGTTAAGAAATTGTGATCTCATGACACCTCACAAACAAGCTCAGTGCACCAGGAGCTGAGGGTGTGGCATCAATGTAACCTCATTACAGCCTTGCCTAGAAAGGATCTCATGACCTTTGCTCTTCTCTGAGTGGAGAAGTGCACTGCCATTGGTAACTTTCTCTTCCTACAATGTTCCTGCACTTATTATCTTACTGGGTTCTGTTTTGCTTGGTGCATGGGTGGGGCTGGCTTTATTTTGGGACACATGTTTGTGAGTGATCTTTCCAAGCGTGATGGTGTGAAGGGTGCACATAGTATTTAATGAATAGTCTATGGTCATCTGTTTGCTTATGTTTGTGTTAGATACTCTAAACTTACAAAGGGGTCAATACCAACAGGAGTGGACAGCACAAACAGGAACACACACACACGTGATAGCCTCCCACTCCAAGAGTAAGTCTAGACAGTGGGGCTATTTCAGGATACCAGAGGTATCCCAAAATAGCTACCCCACATCTTTTAAACACACCCGTTATTTTGAAATATTCTTTGAAATAACGGGCGTGCTATTCCGGCATCCCTGGAACTCTCGTTCCATGAAGGTTAGGGGATGTCTTGAAATAGCACGTTATTTCAAAATTTGGCACTGTAGATGCACCAAATTTTGAAATAAGCTATTTCAAAATACAATCGAAATAAGATACTCAATTTGCATAGCGCAAACTGCATATCTTATTTTGAGTTTAGGGTGCTGTGTAGATGCACCCCAAGAGACCATTCTGAGAATAACTGTTTTGAAATCTTTCCCCAACTCCCCTTGGGAAGGTACCAAAACTGGTTTGGTTAGGTTCAGGAGTCACAAGGGCAAGCATAGAAACTTTGAAGAGGTTAAAAAGAGTAAGCCTTAAAGAAGCAGGAGTGACAAAGAGAAGAAGAGGCTGTAGTGGTACAAACTGTCTCTCACAGACCCAGAGGTGGGGTGTCTAGGGAAGCGGGGCCCACCTAACCTTTGGTGAGGCACTTATGCATGTAATTATACTTATTGCACTAATACTGCTTTGCTCTTGTTATGCTGTGTTTCTTCTGTTGAGATTAAACAATGTATCCTTTGGAAAATACAGGACTATGTAGCACTTTAAAGACTAACAAGCTGGTTTATTAGACGATGAGCTTTCATGGGTCAGACTATTTTCTTCCATTATTTGATCTGAGGAAGTGGGTCTGGCCCACGAAAACTCATCATCTAATAAACCATCTTGTTAGTCTTTAAAGTGCTACATAGTCCTGTATTTTGCTTCGCCTACACCAGACTAACACGGCTACATTCCTGTGGAAAAGGCTGGTCACTGCTCTGGAAGGGAAGACTTGCAGGGCAGTCGAATCTAGTTGGGGCTATTGAGCAGCCATGGTTGGTACTCAGGGGACGGTAGCCTAGTACCTCAGTCTGAGAGTGGGGGAATCATGACGTTGCAGCTAGCCTTATTTTCAATAGCTGTTTTTATCTCAGAGCTACAGATAACTGCAGAACGTAAGCAACTCAGTTACAGCCTTCTTTCACTTAATAGATACATCAAGCAATAACCATGGACTCTGATCAGCTTTACAATTCCCTTCTTTATATGATTTTCCCCTCGACCATTCTGTGTATTCTGAGTATATCACGAGTCCACATGCTTTTAGTTTTATAGCCCACTCCGGTGAGGTATGGTACAAAAAAGAGCTTAAGCTTTGGGTAACATTTAAAAATCTTGAGTGTGTAAGTTTAAATGTAAACCGCATAGTCTGTTTCAAATTTGTGTCACCAGCAGTGATCTCATTGTCTTTTTAATTAGTTTTCATACTTAGAAAAGCCTGATAATGAACTGTAAGTTTAATATTCATTCCGTGGAGAGAGGAGTGGGCATGTTTTCCCTTTGTTTATTTGGATAGTGTAACCAAATGTTCACCACCCGCAAGCCCAGCCTTGCTATCCACTCTTGTGTGTAGTTAGCTTGGTCAGGCAGAAGCAGAGTTCAGAACATCAATGGGCCAACTTTGTCATTTTACTCACCCTATTCAACAGTTCATATCTAACAGTACCCGCTATGAATATTGGAGGCAGAGGCCACACATTTTGCAGCTCCTGTGGGGTTTTGAAAATGCTACTGGGAAACCCCTGCAAATTTTCCCTGAATACAGGTTCTATTGCACTTGAAATGTTGCCCGAGTTCAGAGCAGTAGGGAAGTATAAAGAGAACCCCCCCAAGAATTAGTAAAGAGCAAGGTCTTCTGAAATCCATAGTTGATAATGTTAGTACCACAGCTCCTTTTAGATAGCCATCAGCCACTTAAAAAGAGATAATCTTGGGTTATGGCAGAGGACTTGGACTCAGAATTTCTAGGTCCTGTTCCTGGCTTTACCATAGACTTTGTGTGTGACTGCATCAAATCACTTACACCTGCTTGTGCCTTAGTGCCCTGTCTGTAAAATGGGGACAATAATACTTCCTTAGGGAAGATGAAATCCATTCATTAATGTGTGACAGCAAAACATTGTGTAGTACCTTTGCATCTCTTTTCACGCATCATGGTCCTCCCACAACAAAAACAGGTCATGTCTTGCTGGATTTCGCCAAAAAGTGAAATCTGGGGTGCCAAAACCGCTTAGAATACAATTCTCAACATTTTACACAGAAAAAATTTCCAAAGCATTCCCAATGTTTTTACAACCATTTTCCACACTGAATGTGATGTTCCATGGGTATTTTTGAAAGCTAGCAATATTTAACCCAGGCACTAATCCTGCTTTAATTTAAATCCAAGGTAGCAGGACTAGGTTTTTGCTCTGTAAACTCCCAGGTTTAATAGCTCAGGGAAATTATATGAAGTGTTTGAAAGTTCTTGACAGGGGGTATGTCTACACTACCCTCCTAGTTCGAACTAGGAGGGTAGTGTAGACATACCCTTAGAGATTATGGTACTAAAGGTAAAAATAAATTATTTGTTGTCATTTAAAAGAAAATAATGAAAGGACTTTGTGTGAACACATTCCATGTGTTGCCATAACATTGAATGTGATTCATCTTTGCTAGAACTTGGTATTTGCCACGTGGTCTTCCCAAGGTCCAGAAGGAGCTGCTCCTAAGCACAAAAGAAAGCGCTTTTGATGAGAACTGTCAGGCATGGCGAATTTTCAAACTAATGTGGTTCACCTAAATGCCTCGTTCCAACTCTCTAGGAGACAGCTCATGATCTAGACTGTGATGCACAAATGTTTTTGTAGGAGCACAATGATTTCAGACCTGATACTAGCCACCGAGAGGCTAAAAACGGAGAAGAAGTACCTCACTAGAATGGTTACTAAACTTGTTGAAGAAAACCAGGAGCTCTTGGGTGAAAACAGGCATTTCAGAGAAAAGATCACAAGGTAAAAGCAGTGTAGATAGGTATTCTCATTGTTATGTCTATGTAGCTACCACTTGTGAGAACTGGCTTGGTGTAAGCACTCTCAAAGATATCATGTATAATAAGATTCTGGGGCAGGGGTTAAGTTTAGATACTTCTCAAACTACCCAAAACTCCTGAATTGAGAAATAATGCAACGTTTCTTCCTTGAGATTACTTGTACTTCCTGGTTGTGGTTGCACTAGAAATAATGTGTGGAAAGGCTGTTTACATAATATCATGCGATGCCTGCTTCATGATCCAAGTCAGAACATAGGAAAGTACAGAAATGGGCAACTATGAAAAAATATTTTCAAAAATTAACCACAGTTTCTCAAATTTTCTTTTTGGGGTTAAGTTCTTATTTTCATTTTTTTACTTATGTTAATTTTATATAACCAGCTTTATAAATGACATGTGGAAGTGAAAGAAGAAGCTGAAGTATGAACCGTGATCTTCCATAGTCTACATTTTAAAAAATCCTCTTACTTGTGCCCTATCAGTACACCAACCATACGGCCCTGATCTTCTGGGACTGTCCCAAATTTAAATACGGTGTCCCGGTGTCCCCATCAACTAGTACAATGTCCTGGAAAGCTCTGCTGGATGAAGTTTGTGGGGAAGAAGCGAGCCAGAAATGGCTTGGTGCTCCGCCATTTCCCTTCCTCCAGCTAGCAGAGCCTCGCAGAGACTCACCCACTATCGTAGCAGCAAGTCTTTCCCCTCCCCCATTCAGAGTACGTAGGCAGCTCCCTTGGTGCTTTGCTGGTGGGCAGCCGGGGCAGCCGGTGGCACGTGGTTTCCAGAGTCAAGAGCATTCTCCGAGTTCCAGCGTGCTGCCACCCACTGAGCCCTCGCCACCCGCACACCATGCAATATCCCACTTGTTCCTTGTTACAGTGGCTACCACTGCTGGAGGGTGCTGCCAGGCAGGTCCAAAGCAAAACTTGGGCAGAGCTGCTCCCAGACATTGGTATCTTGGAGCTGCCACTTCAGCCCTGGGAGGGGCCACGCAGAGCCTGGCTGGGGAGCTGTGGGGTGCATTCACTCGGGCTCGGCAGGTGCACTCTGTGCACTGCCACTCTCTCTCCCCTTGCCCCTCCCCACAGCGCTGGGGGTGCAGCAGTGCACGGAGCCACTTGCTCGGCCGTTCTCCGCAAGCCGGGTCTGATGGGCTCGGGGTTTTCTTCATCCCCACCCCCTTTGGGAAACGAGCTAGAGCTCCAGCTACACGGCTGTGTGGACAATACTCTGCTTGGGGTGGTGTGTGCGTGTGTGTGTGGGAGGGAGTGATTCCTGTCACTCTGCCTTACCATGCAGGGGGAGGGGATGGTCTGTCTATGCTAAGGGGATCCCTAATGGAGGTCCCGAATGCTGGACAGGGAGTGGCCTGGTCATGCTAAGGGGGTCCCCAATGAGTGGTTCCCAAAACTGCAGGGGGCAGTCTGGCTATGCTAAAGGGGACCCAGTGTGGGTTCCCATCACTGCGAGGGTGCTCTGGCCATGCTAAGTGGGTCCTCAGTAGAAGGTTTCAATCACTGTGGGGCCAGTTTGGCCATGCTAAGGGGGTCCCCAATGGCAGGGTCCCATCACTGCAGGGGGCAGTCTGGTCATGCTAAGGGAGTTCCTGGTGGGGGCTAAGCTCAATCCTCCTCCCTACACCCCTGGGGAATGGCAGTGCGCTGTATGGATGCTTTCCCCACTGCAAAGCCAGGTAAGGATCCCCCCTCATGCCCAAACCCCCACACCCAAATCTCCCTCACTCACTCCCCTCTCCCCACCAAGACCCCACACCCGCAGCTTGCTCCGACACCCCCCTTGCTCCTACACACTCCCTCCTGGCCAGACACCCCTACCCCCGGCCTGCTCCTCCACCCTCTCCCCTGGCCAGACACCTACCCCCACCTTACGCCTGCATCCACCGTTGCTCTTGCCCCCTCCCTCCTGGCCACACAATGCACCCTTCCTTGCTCCTGATCCCTCCACCTGGCCAGACACCCTACTCCCAGTCTGCTTCTGCTCCCCACCTCCCTCCCAGATCCTGTACCCCATTCCTATCCCATTCACTGGCAGCCCTATCCTGCACATTGAACCCCTTCTTTTTGTCCCTACTCCAGAGCCTGAGAGGGTCCATAAAATCCACTAACTCCAGAACTTCAGAAAAGTCCATCTGGCCTATAGGAAGCCCTGAAACTCAGTACTCCCTGTCTCTTCCCCTTGCCCCATGAGGTTGGAGCACCAGAGTAGTGAGGTATCTCAGTTGGAGGCCACATCAGTGAGGGTTGGGGATTTTTGTAGGAGTTTTTTGCATCTAACTTGTCTGGTTCCCAACTGAGTTTTCTGCGGCTTAGGGGCCCACAACATAGGAAAGATTCCCCATCCTGGCCATAAATAAAGAAAACATTGAAACCTTTTGTGTTGGACATGAATTAATATTTTACTTTATTTAAAATGAAGTTTGATAAACTAACATGAGAAAGTTAAAATACTTAATCTGTTTAATCATTTAAATTAAACCATTCTCTCTAGCCGCAGCACTAGCAAAATGGCTGAGTCATAATTATATAATTAATGGTGAGTTTCCATTAGCAACTTGTAGTCCGTGGAAAGGTTTACATTGAGCCAGGTGGTCCAAAGGCCAAAAAATGTGAGAACCACTAAAATAGAGGCACCCGCAATCTCTCCCCCTGAAGAGACCTCCGCAGATTCTCTGCTGCTCCACAAGAGCCCACAGAGAGATTGGGTCTGTTACCACAGTGGTGAATCACCGTGTCACTCTGATGTGGATGGTGGACAGACTTTTTGTGAGTCTTCCCCATCCAAGCAGTTGATGATTTAAACAGGGTGTTAAGATGCCACATGAAAACACTTGGCACATCCACAGACAGGCAGGATGTATCATCTCTCTGCAGAGAGGATTGTCATGACTTGTGTGAAGGGCCAGCTTTCGGAAGTGCAGGGGGCTCCAGGAATTTTTTTGATTGAGCAAGCAAAAAAAAAAACAGCACAAAAAATCCCCCACCAACACACACACACCCCCTCTCCCGCAGCACAGGAAAACCCTGCTCTAAACTCACACCTCCTGTGATGCAGGCAGCCAACGCACTCCTCCTCCAGGGCCGGCAGGGGTGGCAGATTTGTATAATTTTTGGTGGTGCCCCATTAGCCATGCCCCCTGGCCCCCTTTAACTACGCCCCAACCCCCATTAACCACTCTCCCTGACCCCCATTAGACAGGCCTCTGGAGGTAACACACTCGGGGCAAGATGGACACGTGACCAGAAGTAAAAGGTGTCATGTTACCCCTGTCAAAGGACTTTTCCCACCATCTTCCTACCAATAGGGATTAGTTTGGCCCCCACCAAGCCCCCCTCATGGCAACTATCCTGCAGTTGCATTAACCCAATGTGTGTGACATTAACTCGGGGGCAGAGAGGCTGGGGGAAATGTTCCCTCTAAGGCTATGTCTACACTCCCGGCTTCTTGCGCAAGTACAGCTGTTCTTGTGCAAGAACCCACAGAGCAGCCACGCTGCCTGCCTGCTCTTGCGCAAGGAAATTTACAGTACGGCATGGTAAAAGAGGGCGTCTTACACAAGAGCTACACTCTTTTCTAACAGGTGTAAGCTCTCTTGAGCAAGAGGGCAGTGTGCATGCTCGGCAGGGATTTCTTGCGCAAGAAACCCCTATGGCTAAAATGGCCATTGGAGCTTTCTTGCTCAAGAGAGCATCCATACTGCCATGGATGCTCTTGCACAAAAGCACAGCTCGCACATGGCAGTGTGGACGTGTTCTTGCACAAGACTTCTTGCACAAGAACCCTTGCACAAGATGTTCTTGCACAAGAAGCCACCAGTGTAGACATAGCCTAAGACCTTCCTCCCATGAGCAGAATGGATTTTGTGTTGTGCACCAGTACTGAATTCATGTGACTTGTTAGGATGTGCCACTGTGGAACCCAAGTTATTAATAAATATATACCTTTCCCCTCTGCTTCCATGTCTCCTCTCCTTGCTCCATTACTACCCTGGTGCCTGATGCCCCCCAACCTCTCACCCTCCTCTGCTGTCCTGACTCCTGCCCTTCTCACTGCCCTCAGCCTTCCTGAGACCTGTCCCTCCTCCACCAACCCTTCTCTCCCCCCTGTGCCCACTCCTCCAATAGCCCCACTTTGATCACATGAGCTACCCCTCCTCATCCCTTTGTCTAACACCTCCCTCGCCTCTCTCATCTGGAGCTGGTCCCTCCCTTGCAGGTGTCTGTCCTTCTGCTTCACCCCCAGAATCCCCTGGCATCTACACCTTCCCTTACCTCTGCATTCTCCTGGTGCCTCCCTCTTCCCTCACTGCCCCTGCCCCCTTTGCCCTTTTTTCCCTGATGCCCATCCCCTCACCACCCTCTGCCCCCATTTCCCTCATGCCCCTGTGCCCTCATGCCCCCCTCCACCAGCCCTTCTCTCCCCCCCTGTGCCCACTCCTCCAGTAGCCCCACTCTGATCATGTGAGCTACTCCTCTTCTAACACCTCCCTCTGCACACCTGCCCTGCCTCTCTCCTCTGGTGCTGGTCCCTCCCCTGCAGGTGTCTGCCCTTCTGCTTCACCCCAGAATCCCCTGGCACCTGCACCTTCCCTTAGCCCTGCACCCTCCTAGTGCCTCCCCCTTCCCTTACTGCCCCTGCCTCCTTTTTCCCTGATGCCCACCCTCTCACCACTCTCTGTCACCGTTCCCTCCTGCCCCTAACCTGCCTTCCCCATGCCTACCCCACTTTCAACGTCTCTTCTCCTGGCACCCACTCCTCCTCTCTCCTCTTCCTTCTTCTTGCTCCCATTGCCCCTCCCCTCTCTCAACATCACCCTGTCCCCTCTTCTCTCATCCCCCCTTCTGCCCTTTTCCTCATTGTCTGCACTTGACCCCCTGGCATTTGTCTGTCCTCCCCCCGTCTCTTAACCCCTTCCTTTCCCTCCTCTCCCCTCCGCACAAGCCCCTTCCTCTCTCCCCTCCCCCCTCTGCACAAGCCCCTTCCTCTCCCCCGCACCTAGTTTTCCCCCTCCCCTACTTTCTGCCTTCCACTTTGCGGGGCTGGAGTCTGCGCTCGGGCCCCAGACTCTGAACCTGGCTCCAGGCCATGCAATGCAATGTGGTGCCAAAGAGTTTTAAAGTCCTGGGCCGTCGCGTCATGCCCGGGCGTCCTCCCTGCTCACCTGCAAACACCGCACATGGCAGCAGCAGCCAGCGAGGGGGAGCCGCACTGAGAGCCGTGCACGGCAGGGATGGGACAGGGCCGAGGGGGACGCTCTGGGGGCAGAGTGCGAGAACGTGGGGGGGGGCCAGGACCCGCTCCAGGCAGAGGCGGGGGAGAGACCCAGTTCCACATATGCTGTAGCAGGGCCCCCGGCTCTGAACAGCAACTCGCTGCCCATGGCACCCAGCACACTTCCGGGTTCAGGGTGTGGGGACCCCTTAGGCTCTGGGCCCAATTCAGCTGAATCGGCCTAAGTCCGGCCCTGCTTGTGTGTCTGAGTAAACACGCCCTTTGTGAGGTAAGATGTTTTAACTTCCAGTTTCAAGAGATTTGTTCTTCTGTCTTTGGGCTGCACTTTGCCTAGTCCTGAATGGAATTAGCTGTGACAACTCATTTCTGAGTTGTTCTGACACACAAAATGAAACCCTACATCCAGTAAGAGAAAGTGCTGCTGTCTGAAGAAGTCAATTCAAAGTTTTTCCAATTTTCTTCACAGATCCCCTCTACCAGGCAGTGGGGCTTTTACCGATTGATCCCTTATATTTTTGAAGGGTGACTAAATGTTAACTGGATCTTCTTGGGTAATGTCAACAGATTGCTTTGGGCCCAATCCTCGCTTAAAGTTTAAATTGGATCAGGCCCTTTGTAAGTAGGTTAATTTGGGAAGTAATTTGGCAATTTTTATTAGGTATTATTTACATAATATAGGCATTGATATATCCATTCCTCAGTAGTTTTACATATCAAATAGCCCACCCGCATTGACCTCCATGGGAAAAGTACATTTCAAGCAGTGCTGGGGAGGGTTAGTGACATAGTCTTCTCCACCCTTTAATTGCCATGGTTAGTTCAGTACTGTCATTATGGCTTGTGGAAATGAAGAACACTTGATAGTTTTTCAGTAACTTCAAAAAATGCAGTTGCAAGACATCTCATTAGGGATCTAAATTCCCACTAATGAATTAACTGGTTAATGTTAGGATAGATGGGGGCTGCCACCAGCTCCCAGCCCCCTCTGGAGCAGCCCCTGTTCACAGCAGGCTGGACTCCAGACACTAGTGCAGTCCCTGCCTGCTGGACCCCCGGGTTTCAGATCCTGGATCTCATCTTGAATCAAGTTTGGACCTGTACTGCTGTAGTGTCATGGGAGCCTAGGTCTGGAGCCTGGGTTAATGTAATTGCAGTATAGTTTCATGGGGAGGAGTCTTATGGGGCCCAAATCCATCCCTATTGGTAGAGGATGATAGGAGTTCTAAGAGAGGTCACATGATACCCTTTACCTCTGGTCATGTATCCACCTTCACCCCAGAAGTACTGCCTCTAGGGGTGGGACTTCCTGTGGCAGGTGGACGGGGCCTAAAAATTCAGGGGGTGTGACTAATGGGGTCAGGGACGTGGCTAATATGTCCTCATATTTGGTGCAAAAAATATGGTCCACTGTACCTATCAGTTTTCCTGAAACAAGGACACAGTCTCCCAAATTGCAGTCGATCGCCTACTCTCTTAGCTGTGTCGTTGTGTGTTGCAGTTTTCAGACCTCCACAGTGCCTAGCGTGGGGGGAGAGATTGATGAGGTGAAGTCAACCTTTACCAAGATCAAGAAGTTGCAAGATTTAGAGAAAGAAGAAGAGGTTGGTGAATTAAGTCTGTGGAGTTGCTCCTTCAATGCTATGCTGAGATGAGTTAGCATAAGGAAACACAAAGTTATGTCTCAAGGGTGTAGGCTGAGTCTTCTCTCATGTACACTGTTTTAACGCTAGTGTAATTGCACTGATATTAATATCTAATATTCAGCTGATATCTGGGATCAAGGAACAAGGCCTGTTTTCCAGTCTATGCCACTGATTCATTGTCTGACTAGGCAGAAGTCATTTACGTAATCTCATTTAAATCCTTAAATCCAGTGGAGCCAGTGGGAGTTTTCCCATTAACGGGGACAGGATTTCACCCTCTAGGATTGTTTGTCCATGTGACAAAAGGTTATACTAATAGTTACCTACCATAATTCTCAAGGTATCAGACATCTTAATGAAAGGGAATTCCGATACAATCTAGAAGTTCTAATCACTGTGGCTAATTACAAAGCTTTTCCTATTAAGGGGGAGAGGATTTCACCCTCTGAGATTGTTTGTCCATGTGAAAAAAATGTTATACTAATATTTACCTGCAGTAATTCTCAAGGCGTTGGATAGCTTAATTAAAGAGCATTCCAATGTAATCTAGACATTCTGATCACTATGGCTAACTATCCTAAGGGCAGAGAAGGACCCCAGAGGTTATGAGGGCCTGGTGTGGGGAGACAGCAGGAGTCGACCCCTCTCCTCCTCCTGCACTCACCATGCAAGCAGCAGGAGCTGAAGTGGCCCAGCAGCCTACCCCACTGTGCTCGGCTACTTTGCAGTGACGGGAAACAGAGTACCCCAACCCAGAAGAAAGCAGGATCCAGCACATTGGGAGAGGGTGGTGCAGTGAGGTGTAGCTGGCTGCCAGGATGTTCTGGCTGCTGCCACCCGCATGCTGCGTGGGGGGAGCAACCCCTGCTGCTGCCGTGACAGGTCTCCCATAATCCCCCTGCCTGCATTGCTTGGGGGAAGGGGGCAAAGAGGAGGAGTGGGAGTGGAGCAGGGGTGGAGCTTGGAGAAGGGTTGGAGTGGGGCCAGGGCCTATGGCGGGGGAGGGTTGCCCTGGGGCGACATGCCTGGAGCACTGGGTGGAGAGGGTTGCCCAGGTCCCATGCCCTCTTCAGCCTCAGGAAGTTTCTGGTGGCCAAACAGGGGTTCTTATTTTAGGTACCGAATTAACCATTTTTGGTTTTAAATTGCAGATTTCTGAATTCCACGAACATAAAGTTCATAAGCACAGAGCATTTCTAACTAGAGAGAAGATAAATTACATAAAGGCAAGTGGGAAAATAATACGTGGTCCATTCTATGTTATGGTTAATATATCTGTGCTACCTGTGATACACAGGTTGGTCAGGAGCGATATCATTGTGGGATATGATCACATTGCATTTCACCTCTTAAGGTGAAATTAAAGCTGGTCAGTATTTGTATTGTGGACTTCCGGACCAACACCAAAGTACCTTAAAAAGGAGTATTGGATTTTCACTAAGTGGCTTTTGAATCTGAGCTAAATAAGAACTGTACTTCTAGGAGTTTCACTTTTTGAGATGAAACATAAATCCAGGAGCCGGGCCACTTCAATGTATGTAAGAATAAAGTGTTAGTTTAGTCTGTGACCTGGCAGAATTCCAGATTTGGGCAAATATATGCTGCTTATTTAAATTCCCCTTAGAATTTTGATGGCATAACATGTCCTTCATTTCTTGCCCCAAATAGTCATATTGTATTAAACAGCTACCATGTTTCACACCAGATGAGACTATACCTCGTGGTGGGTGAACTGATTCTAGTATATGTAGTTTGTAAGTTTCTGGAATCATTTGGGAAGAAATTAGTTGCTGAACTATGTTGTTACCATGAAAACACCCTGCTGTCCGGTTATTCCAGCTGAATGTTGTAACACTTGGCTCAGCAAATTAAAACATAAAAAGAGGAAAGAATAACATTACTCAGATTGAAGGTTGTTTTTGGAAATGCATTGGGACATTCTAAAACTGTATCTTTCCCCAGTCTGGGAATGACTTGCTGCTTGGGGAACTGGTCAGAACTACCCTTTAAAACAAAAGTAGAGCGAAGAAAATACTCCTAAATCTGGACAGGGACCAAAAGTAAATCACTCAGGTGAAGGAGAAATCAGACAGTTTTTATATGTATTAACAAGAGAAGAACCTCCAACAGGAAGAATAGTCTCATCCACTTATGAAGTAGATTATATCAGTTGATCAGAAAACGAGGCATCAGGCCCATGTCAGCTAAATACTTCCACAAAAAGAGAAGGAAAATGTGATGTGGGAAAGAAGTCTGGTCAGGATTGATGTGTGCAAGCCCATCCTTGAGAGAGAACTCTGAAAAAACAACATAGGGTTACAGGCGGCATGGAAAGTCCCACTTCAGGCACATAATAACATTCTGACTTGCTACACAGACATTTCCAGACCACATTTCAATAACATAAGGAATGGTCAGCCTTATAAAGAGGCACCGGTGAAAGGCTTTCATTGCAAAAAAGCACAAGTAAAGTTGAAAGGATCCATTTGCTATCGATAAAAGATTACAAATTAAGCATTCATTTCTATTTATTTGTATTACGGTAGCAGCTAGAAGCTCTAATCCGAATTGGGTTGAAAAGGTGGCTTCCTCCTCAAAGAGCTTGCAGTCTAAGCATAGAATCATAGAAGTGAGGGGTTGGAAGGGACCTTAAGAGGTCATCTAGTCCAGTGGTGCGCAACCTGTGGGTCGCAACCCCCAAGGGGGTCGTGGATGTTTTCCCAGGGGGTCATGGCGCTTAGATCCGGCCGGTTGGGGGATGGATGTGGCCGTGTGGCACGGCGCTTAGGTCCGGCCGGCTGGTGGCTGGGCCTGGCAGTTGGCAGCCCCCACGGCGCAGCACCTAGATCTGGCCGGCCGGGGTCTGGGCCAGGCAGTTGGCGGCCCCTGCAGCGTGGGGGTCACAGATCAAAAAAGGTTGCACACCACTGATCTAGTCCAGTCCTGTGAGCAGAGGCATACCCAAAGAAACTAAGACCAACCCTGACAGGTGTTTGTTCAGCCTGTTCTTAAAATCCTCCAATGATGGGGAGTCTTCAGCTCCCCGAAGTAAACCAATTGCAGTACTTCACTACTTTTAGAGTTAACAAGGTTTTCCTAATATCCAGCCTAAACCTCCTTTTCTGCAAACTAAGATGATGACTTCTTGTGCTACCCTCAGTGGATGAGGAAGACAATTGATCACAGTCCACTTTAGAACAATCTTTTACAAATATGAAGACTCTTACTATATCTCCCCTCAATCTTCTTTCCTCAAGAGTAAAAATATCCAGTTTTTTAACCTTCCCTCATAGGCAGGCATCTGACAGAACTGCTGGGCCTTTGGGCATGGTGACAGAAGTGGTTTCACGCTCTCAGAATGGGTGGCCACAGGCAGAAAGGGCAGAGCTAGGGGCAGTCAGCCCTTAGAGCTGCCCAGACTGCACTGCACCCCACCAGCCCATAGCACTGGAGCACACAGCCCGGTACTCTGATGGCGATTTAAAGGGCCTGGGATTCAGGCTGCCACCACAATAGCAACAGTGGCAGCTAGGAGCCCTGGGCCCTTTTGAATTGCCAGGCCCTAAGACAACTTCCCTCTCTTCCCCCACTGTTGGCACACCTGCTCAGAAGTCAAATTTTCAAAACTTATCATTTTTGTATCGCTCTTCTGGGGATTCTTCCCAGTTTGTCCACATCTGTGTTTAAGTGTAGTGTCCAAGACTGGACACAGCACTTTAACTGAGGCCTTACCACGACTGAGGAGAACAGCACAATTACCTCCCAAGGTAGGTAGGGATGTGAACGACTAGTCGATTATCCGATAAGCAAATGCTTATCGGATAGTTGACAGGCAAGTCGACTAGTTGCTTCCCCCCCGCCCTTGCTGCCTCTATCAGAAAGAAGCATCAAGGGGGGAAGAAGTGGGGGTGCTTCAAAGCAGCAGTGCCACGTGAAGCCCGGGGTCAGCTGTGGACTTCCCTGCTGACCCCAGGCTCCATGCAGCACTGCCACTTTGAAACACTGCAGGGAGCATGCGGCCAGCAGGGGCCTGTTTGTGTTCCCCGCTGGCACCATGCTCCCCACAGCACTTTTGCCTTTGAAGTGTAGCAACCAAGATTATTGCAACATATTGAAAATAAGATTGTATTTTCACAACTGGACCATTATGATAAACCAGTGAATTCTCCCTGTGCATGACCCAGTTCAACTTCACATGTGCTCTCGCCCCAATCTTTTTTTTTTAGGTGTACTTGCAGCAGTGTGCGAGGGAGATGGAAGAAAAGAAGGAAGACATTATAAAGGTAACAAGAAAATCCTTTATTTATGAAGGAGGAAATTAATTCCTGTGGCAGAAATTTGAGTGTGATAACTTAAGACTATTAAAATCACTTCATAATGAGAGATCAGTGATGATAAAAGTACTGGCCTCTCTTCTTTAGAGACTGAAGCCTCTAGCAGCACAGTAAATTTCCATGTTGCTCAACGAATGTACTTCACCCCTGAAGAAAGGGTAATCTCCAGCCAATCAGTGTTTTCAAACAAGCAGTTGATCTAGCACAGATAAGTTCCACCAATGGTAGCCATGGTGGGAGTACTAGTGTGCACTAGTCACCAGTTTTAATCAGGGAGGTTATTTAACTCTGCTTAAAGTAGGTCTGGACAACACAGAAGTCAAAGCACCAATGGCTATGACTGGCTAGTTTCCCCGAGGGGTGTAAAAGTTTAACTGGTAACCCAGTAAGCATTAGGCTTCTTGGAATGCTTAGTGAGTAACCGGTTAACTGGACTTTCCCCAAACCCTGGTGGACAGGCAGCCACACCAGGCCAGAGAAGCCCTGACTATGGCTTGCTGGCTGGCTGGATTTTTGCTGTGACAGGGCAGCAGGCGGGACCATGTGGTGGGCAGGTGGAACCTTGGCCACAGCTGTGCTGGGGCCAGTGGGGCTCCAGCCATGCTGCAGACAGGACAGACCCCGGCAGTGGCCATGTCGGGCCAGCAGATAGGGCCATGGCCACATGGCAGGTAGGCAAGACCTCATGGCCCATCTGCCAGAGCAGACCCAGCCCCATCTGAAGTGGGCAGGCTGCTATGCCTGCTCCACAGACCCAGTAGGACCAGAGCTCTGGTGGGACCTCACCCCTGGGTGTCCTGCACCAGTCTACCAACAGTTAACAGGTTAAACGATACAATTGTGATCATTTAACCGGTTAACTGTTTTGACCAATATTCACCTCCCAAGTTCCCCCACCAGACAGGGGGTTGAAATAATTTTTTAAATGTGGAAATCTCTGTATTCTATAACCCGCGTAAGTTACTTAGTGTAAGCACAATGTTAACATAAAGCATTTTGGTCTGATGGAAGTTTTTTCTTTGGCTATTTTGCAGGGATTTACGTTAGTTTGGGGTAAGGAAGATTGCTTTTTTAGGGTTTGATCAAAACAGTATTGCACATACTTGTCAAAGCAGGGTCTTTGTCAATGTTTGGAAGTTGCACATATGGCAAACTTCAGTTATTCCCATTAAGCAAAGGCGACACTGAATCAAGCTCATAAGTGTGCAGAATAGTACTGTAGGAAAGATTTAATGCTAATGGGGGCCTGGATCCATTTAAAACTTAGGTCAATCTAGCAACTTTAGACAGGCTCTGAAAATTTTCACTCCCTCTGCAACATGGCTAGGTCTGCCTAACCCTCATTGTAGAAACCACAAGGACAATGGAAGAATTCTTCCATTGACCTAATTATGCCTTCTCAAGAGGGTGGATTTACTACAGTGATAGAAAGACACCTTCCATCACTGTAGTAAATGTCTACACTTGCAGAGCTACACTGGCATCATTGCTGTAGCCGTACCTCTTCAAGGCATGTCATGTAGACATACCCTCAGAGTCCCAAACCTACCTGTGTGTTTGGAGAGAGTGAGGAGGAACTACATCCATGAATTTATTCAGTTTCTCCATAATCAGCCACTGAATGCATGTGTGTGTGAGTGTGTGGCCTAAGAACCAGGACCCAACATTCTACTGTCTGGTCAGCATTGGACCATTTTGTACAAGGGTGTTCATGGGAAACCTAGTGACCTTATTCCGTCTCCATTTACCCAAGAAATGGGCTTAGTAATACTTAGCCACCTCCCATGGGAGTATAAGGATGAATTCATATTTAAATACTTTGAGATCCCTGAGTGATAGTTACTATTTAAGTATAAATTGCAATTATTAAAGAACTACAGTAGGCAGAAACCTGCTACACATGAGCCATTCTTTTAAAGAAATGTATAATTAGGAATAATATTTTTTTTAAGATCAAACAAAGCATCTGATGTTTTTCCTCCAGCAACATGTATATGTTTTGTTTTGTTTTTCAGGAAAAGCATCAAATATCTGAAACAAGAGGAACAGTGGCAGAACAGGGCAAAATTATAGAGGTATAAAATCCTATTACCAGTCTAAATACAATCTCTCTCTCTGTCTTTCTTATCCCTATAACATCTCAGCCCTTCCCAAAATGAATAATAAGAATGACAAGCTATGAAGCAATGGGATAAAATTTAATACAGTTATTATTATAAGGGAATTTGCATCACAATAACTTCTGTAGATTATTGGCACACAAAAGGCATTCAATTGAGAGTGCTTTATCAATTATGAGCACCACCATGTAGAAAGCAGTGACTTTACTTTTAAAGTATGTGTCCCTAGAAATGCATGTAATGCAGTGATGACAGGGGATCAAGGATGGGCGTTCCTGTAAGTTTGTTTATCACAATATGTTTGAGAAATGAATATCTGAAAGAATCATAATGATGTAAATTTTTTGCTAATGAATGGAGACTTGACTTGTATTGAGCATTAGACTGGTGAATTTCCAAATGTGAAAAAGGCACAAATATCTGTGTTTGCTTTCTTTTTAACTTTTAAGGATCTTCAGATACAAATAAACCACCTGCAAGAGGAGCTCAAAAATTCTCAACTAACTGTATTGTAAGTATTGGCAATCCAATATTAAGCAATCAACATGTAAGCACCTGCAGGACAGTAGAGTTATAAAGAATAGTCATCAATATGCATTTTTCAAGAACAAATCATTCCAAACCAACGTAATTTCCTTCTTTCTCAAGGTTACTGACTTAGTGGGTGGGAGGAAGCAGTAGACGTGAAATAGCAGTATTTTTGTAAGGCTTTTAACACAATTCCATATAATGGTCTCATAGCAAACGAGGGAAATAACTATAAGGTGAATATCTATAAGGTGTCTAGGTGAAATAACTATAAGGTTGGTGCACAACTGGTTAAAAGACCATATTCAAAGGGTAGAGATAAATAGTTTGCTGTTAAACTGGGAGGCTACGTCTAGACTGGCATAATTTTCCGCAAATGCTTTTAACAGAAAAGTTTTCCGTTAAAAGCATTTGCGGATAAAAGCGTCTAGATTGGCACAGATGCTTTTCCACAAAAGCACTTTTTGCGGAAAAGTGTCCATGCCAGTCTAGACGTGGTTTTGCGCAAAAAAGCCCCAATCGCCATTTTCGCAATCGGGGCTTTTTTGCACAAAACAAATCTGATCTGTCTACACTGGCCCTTTTGCGCAAAAGCTTTTGGGCAAAAAGACTTTTGCCCAAATGGGAGCAGCATAGCATTTCCGCAAGAAGCACTGATTTCTTACATGAGATCGTCAGCGTTCTTGCGGAAATTCAAGCGGCCATTGTAGACAGCTGGCAAATTTTTTCGCAAAAGCACTTGCTTTTGCGGAAAAACTTGCCAGTCTAGACACAGCTGGACAGTTTATCTGGCAGGGTCCTGCAGGGGTTAGTTCTGGGCTGGTACTATTCAATATTGTCTTAAGGCTTGGGATAACAGAGTAGAGAGTATGTTTATAAAATATGAAGATACCACAATTCTTGGAGAGGTTGCAAGACCTTTGGAAGTCAAGATTAGAATTCAAAACAACCTTTATAAATTGGAGAACTGGCCTGAATTCATGAAGGTGAAATTCAGTAGAGAAAAGTGCAAAGTACTTGATGTAGGAAGGGAAATCTAAGGCACAACTACAAAATGGGGACTAGCTGGTGAGGTAGTCATAATGCCAAACAAAATCTGGGGTTTACCGTGTCTCACAAACTGAGTATGAGTCACCAATGGGAGGGAGTTGCAAAAAAAGGTAAATATTTTGTGGTGTGTTATCAAGAGGGATGCACTCTCGAAAGGAAACTCCGATTGCTATTTACAGAATGGCCACCAGGGCACCTGAGCTTTTTTCGATGGCCTCTTTTTGCACAAAAAAAACCCTCTTGCCCATCCACGCTCATCTTTTTGCAGAAGAACTCTTGCGCAAAAAGGAGAAATTCCTTGTAGAAGGAGGAATACCTACCCTGCAAAAACTCCTCTGTTATTTCATTTTACTTGAGCAAAAACGCGCTCAAAGTGTGGACACTCCACGAGTTTTTTCACAAAAACTCTGTAGTATAGACCTAGCCTGAGTGTTGCTAGCACTCACTGGCTTATTTTTGTGCTCAAATACATTTACAGAGGAATTTACCAATGTGTGTATGTATCTGCAGTGAACATTAGTCCCTCCTGAGGAATCCCTTCTTAAGTATTTTTCCCCAATAATACTGTTTTCCTCATTCACTGTTGCACTGTAATGTTTTAGTGAGTGGAAGTTGAAGATAGGGGCAACGCTATTGGGTAGGCAGCACATGAAAGCCAACAATGTCCATCACCCAGGGACAATGTCACTTAGAGGGATGAACTTTGGGATGCTGGTGGAACCTTGTGTACATTACACAGCCAATCAGCAGATGGAAAAGAGCATCCAGAATTCCACTTGTAGTGTATGGTCTGCTGATATCACTGGTGGTCATGAAGGTGCAGTGTATGGGTCTCTCCCTGCCCCACTGCTGCTCCTGGAAGCTGGTTTCAACCTGGTTCAGCCTCTGTGACTGAGGGATGGGATAGCACTTGGGCCCTAGTGCCCTTAAAGAGATGGAGTATCTTCAATAAGGGCTTCCTGGCATATGGCAAGGCCTGTGAGTCAATGCTGATTCTCTCCCACCCTGCTCCTGAACCCAATGCTTGTAAATTTAAAAACAATACCTCGAGATTCAAATGGGAGAGAAATTGGGAGGGACGGAAACAGGGACATGCACAGGAGGACAAGCAGGGGCACACACCCATATTAATATATATAAATACTTATTTCTGCCCCAGACCCAGCCATTGCTCTAGCCACAGCAGCTACCCACTAGGGATGTAAAGGACTAGCAAATGCTTATTGGATAGTTGACAGGATAGTCGACTAGTCCCTCCACCCACTTGCTGCCTCTATCAGATAGAGGCAGCAGGGGGGGGGGGGAAAAGAGGGAGGTACTTAAAAGTGGCAGCACTGCATGGAGCCCAGGGTCAGCTGCTCCGTGCAGCATTGCCGCTTTGAATGCTGCGGGGAGTCCGGCGTCCGGCTCCTCATGGCATTTCAAAGCGGCAGCACTGGGTGGAGCCCGGGATTAGCTGGACACTGCCCAGCTGACCCCAGGCTCGGCGCAGCATTTCAAAATGGCAGCACTGCTTGGAGCCCAGGATCAGCTAAAGACTCCCCAGCTGACCCTAGGTTCCACGCGGCGTGCCAGCTTTGAAATGTACCAGAGTCCCCAGTAGGGGCTCCTGGGCATTTCAAAGCAGAAGCCCCTACATGGAGCCCAGAGTCAAAGGGACTTCCTGCTGGCCCTGGGCTGCACGCGGCATTCTCTTGGGGCTCCTGTACATTTCAAAGGCGGAACACGGAAGTAGTTGACTAGTCTTCTAGACATTCCATTGACTACTCGATTAGCAAATTAATCTCTGCTTAATATCCATACTACTCCCCATTTTCTGCTCCAGCTCCCAGCTGCTGACCCCACTGCCAGCCATTGCTTTGAAATCAACTTTAAATTCTTGTGCACACCCTTGGAGCAAAATAAAATAAAATGACATGAAATCCTGCAGTAAGGAATTTTGTGATAGATTTAGCCACTCAGGCCCCCTCTCTGCTTTCTTATTTTGCCTTAAATGGCACCGATGTGTTCAAAAGTGCCACAACTCCCCCTTCACAATCCATATATCTGTGCCTATGCATCGTTGGGTCTCAGCTTCTTTCTTTGCTGAAGCACCATTTTTGTTTCCGTGAATGGTGCTGATCTGAACTGATGCAGAAATGTCAGCTGGCTTCTATTTTGGTGTCTGTGTTTTTCATAGTCAGCCGGTGGAGCAGAAAGAAGTCAACTTAGAATCACCGATGCCTGAGGTGGCCAAAGCAAACCTGGTAAGTCTGGACTATGCTCATGTCTCTCTTCCTGCTCCTGTATTCTTTGCCTGGAGAAAATGCAAACCCAGCTCTTTTCCCATATGTCAGTCTTTTTTAAAAAAACTCTTGTGATTTGCAACATCCCACCCCTCTAATGGAATTACTGGGTTTAAACGTACTAATCCCTATAGGGTGGCTGGGTTTTGTAACTCTGCAGTGTTTTGCTATTTATTTTTTCTCCTTGAAAGGGAGAAAACATGATTTCAAAGTACGTCCACTTTCCCACGTTCCGGTCTCTATGTCTGCAGCTTGAGACAGTGCATAGCTGCCTAAGCAAAAGGCTCTCTCTGCTCAGGTGGGTGAAATGTTTTGATTATAACCAGTTTGATTTAGCTTTTGTTTGAGAATCATGGGGTTAAGTCTATCCTGATTGGCACTGGAGCCAATGTGGGATAATAGCTCTCCAGGGAAAATAAAATTTTACCTAAAATTAGAGCAGCAAGGGTCAGAGACATTATGGGATTGGGACATAGGATGCTTGGCTTCTTGTCCCAGCTTTTTCACTGAGTTTACTATGTAACAACCATGCAGAAGTCACATAACAGTGCTATGCCTCAGTTTGCCCATTGATAAAGTGTTTACTGTACATGCTTTCCTTGCCAAGACTGGGTAGGTTCCATCAAGATTTTTCTCAGATGCTGCCACTGCCAAAGCAGTACTCCCCTTTGCAATCACCCTTGCACAATGGTGAGCATCCTCTTCTTCCCAGAAAGTTGCACGTGTCTCCTGACTTCCTGTGTGATGTTGGGCAAGTCACGTAATCTCCTGTCACTTAGTTCCCCATCTGTAAAATGTGGTGGATACCTCTTACTTCCTCCTGCTCTAGGCCTTGCACAGATTGTGACTGTTTGAGGGCAAGACTGTCTCTAATGTGTGGGACAATACCCAACATAAAACAGCTCTCATCTCATCAAGAAGAGCTACTGCAATACAAATAATAATGGGAAGGCAGAAGCCATCATGAGACAGGTGGGGTAAGAGTGAAGGAAGAAACTAAATAATTTAGTGGAGCTAGGATTCTGTGTCGTCTTGCCCAAATGGTTTTATCAATGTGTGTGTGTGTGTGTCTCTCTCTCTCTCACCGCAGGAAACTTCCAGAGCTGGATTTCAAACTTTTACTGTGCTTGATCATCCTTCTAGGTCTGATGATATTATATATATATATCTTTCATACTACCTGGCTATGCCAGTTACTGCGGTGCACCTGCTACAAGCACTATGCCAGTTGCCTTCGACCGCACTGATCCGAGAATACTTGAATGGGGTGGGACTGGATTACTACAGTGCTGATTTCCTTTGCCTGATTCTGGAACAGACCAAAAGATGGTCTTTGCTTACAAAATAAACCTGTCACCAACCCCATAAATGTAGGTTAGCCTATGGGCTTTCCAATGAGATCTGCGTAAGTTACTCCCCCATCCTGTACTTTGTTCATTCTACACAAGAGCTTGTGTCCTTGAACTCATCCAGTTCCTTGTAAAATGACTCATGGACCTGAGCTGCAGAAATGAATTCCAGCTCCAGATTCTGAATGCCCAGAAAGCTCTAAGGCATCCATCGCTGCTGGTGTTTGATTTCAGGTCCTCCTCTAAAATGTGCATGAAATTAGGAATGAATGGGACAGATCTTTAGCTGAGGTCAATTTTCATAACACGAAATCAATGGACATGTGACTATTTATGCTAGCTGAGGATCTTCCCCAGCAAATACATTTTGTCAGATTTCAAACATGTGGTACATGTAGCTATGAATGCTGAGTAACAGTTACAATCTTATTAGCTGGGTACTGGTCCACACATAGACACAGGTGCTCCCTGGCCTCAGCCAGCACACAGACCTTGAGTTGCTGATCAAGACATTTGGCTTCAGTTACAAATTTAATAAAACAGAAACCTCAATACAACCTTCCTGTGTGACAGTTGGTGTTTCAAGGGCTTTCCTCCAGGATTTCCTGCATTTTTATTCTCTCTCCCTTAACAACCAACCTCACCGCCTATCTATCACATTTTGGAGTAATGAGTCACACCTGCTTTTCACACAAACCTCTCTGTGCCTCCTTCAATATCCACCCTTGTGTATGGAACAACCTTCCTGACTCTCTGTATCTTCAGGTCCCTCCTCTGCTGCAGTCTGTTTGGAAAACTTGCTACCTGCCAAAGTCATGCTGGAGTAGTACATTGGGTACAATTTACATTTCCTATTTACATATATTTGTTAATATTAATAACAGAGTTGTTGTTAAGCTTTTCATTATTGTTTTCTGATTATTTGACTGTTTGGCCTCAGATTGCGTGACCCTCAAGATAGTTGCCTGCTTGTTGCTTTGTTTGGAAGGGTATTAGCACACTGTAGGAGTCTCCAGAAATTAAAAATAATAATTGGATCTGCTTTAGTGAGTCAGGAGGAATCAATCAGCATCCTCCTGTAGGGTTCCTACCCCCCCCTGCTAGCTGGGTGAGTAAACTCTGCAGAGTCCCACACCACGCTACATGCATCCTTACATGTAAAATCTCATTTTTGCAGGTTGAGAGGAATAGAAACTGGGAAGCTCAAGAAGGCTGTTGTTACAGTGCAAGTCACGTGACACTGTTTTCTCTCTGACTCAGGCGCTCACACTTTTGCTTTATCTAATTTGAAGTAAAAGTCAGGTTAAAAATACACTCTCAGTGCTTTAGATATGAAAAACATAACCATTAATGAAGGCGAAGGAAGCTCATAAGGTTGTGTCCAGCTTCTCTGGCCTCCTAAAATGAGTCTAATTTCCATTTTGTTATGGTATCTTCCCCAGCCCTCTTTCTCTTTCTCTTTCTTTCCAGATTGGAAATTCTGTGAAAACTGCTCTTTAATGAATTTTTTGTCCCACACAGTTGGTTTGTGCTATGCCCAAGAGTTATATTTGAAGGTACCAAGTATAAAAAGGGTGAAGAGAAGGAAAATGAGGCTGAACTCTCAAACATTAGATTTGGAAAGAAAATTCACAGGTCATGTATGATAGTTAGAAAGCATGCGCAAAGCAATTTCTGAAACCCTACAGCCTCTAATAGTATTATTCCTGTGCTTGGGGCAATTACCATAGAATCTTTTAACAGGAACACTAACATATAACAGTTATCACAGAGCCATACAAAAATGAAAATTAGGCACTATGTAGAAAATAAATTGCATACCCTAAGCCACAAGCTTAAATAACAGGCCACTAGATTGAAGAGTTTCCTACCATACATAAAATAGATGAAATTTAAATGCTGTAACTATAATTGTTGGTAGAGGATACTGGTGATGATGGGTGTAGTTGAAGGGTGTGTTGTTTTTATGTCAAGGCTTAAAAGTATGGGAAATCACACAGAAGTTCAGTTCTGCTAAAAACAGAAGTATATTTCCCCTCCTGATTAGCATGTATTGCTAAAAGTATTAGGAGGGTTTTTCTCTGGGTATCATGCTGAGAGTTCTTCTCTTGTTTCACCCTATTTTAACTACCATGCTAGAGGGAAATTGAGGGGTTGTTGTGCAAGATACTGATGGGGGTTGTAATGGATGCTGGGTTAGAATTTGCTAATTCTGCCAGTTGAGAGAGTCTATTAAACCAACTTACTTGCTCAAATACAGTGGGCAGGTAGACTTTTATAAACTTTCTGAGAAGGAAATGTAGCATTACTTTATTCTTCTCTCTTCTGAACCTACTGAATTTTGTTCTTCGGTATCTATGCCTGAAGTGCACACTTTGTTCTGTCTTTTAATGAGATACAAAGGAATTGTAACACTTTCCTTTCCTTCAGTTTCTTCTAGTGATATTGTGACATTGGCTTCCCCTATTAGTCCATCCCATTGCCCAACACACCTCAACTGGTTATATCAAGTTCTTTCCTCCACTATCAGAATTCAAATGTTCATTAACTATTTTTTTTCTTTAAAAAAAAATCAGCTTTGACTCTTCTATAATTAATTTTTCTGTGTCTTTGTCACCTTTCATCTGCAAACTGTTGGAATGCATTGTGCTGGAATGAATCTCCCCCATTTTACTGATTGTCAGTTAAGGGTCAGAACAGATGACTTGATAGAAAGCACTCTACAGAAGGCCTACAATGAACTTGCTGTGGCTATTGCCTAGTTACCTATCATCTGTCTTACTGGATCTGTCATCAGCATTCAATAGACTGGAACAAAAAGTATAGTCATCTCATCTATTGTCTCAGCTACACTTGAGGTGGGGTTTTCAACAGCGGTTGGCATTCACCTAAATTTGCGTCAACTGAAGTCAAGGGGAGTTTTCCTGTGAATGCTTTTGAAAATCCTATTCTCTGTGCTCTCGTGTGAATCTTATCTCTCAAATAGACTATTCTGGGTGGCTTATGTCTCTAATCTATCTTTTCTTCATGATAATTTTTCCAGCATATATTCTCTAGAGCTCTGTACTTGGTCCATTTTTTGTCCTTCTATTGTCAGCCACTTGGTGCTTTAATTTAAAAAGATGAACTAAAGAAGTAAACAAACCAAAAATTGTGTGCCTGCCCTTTACTTCTTGTAACTTCTACAAAAGGCATCAATAGATTTTTGGCAAGCTTTTTATGCTTTTTTTACATTAGATATACCTAAACTACCTAGAAATACTACTACTGTCTAAAAGACCTCTCCCCTTTTCTTCTCGATTTGTATTGGGAGAGCTGCAGTTCTTGGTTTCAACCTGCTGTGATTGTCCTCTGAAGACTGCTAAAGTTCTCCAAAGAAGTCAGAACTAGAGATACTTCAATAATTTTGACATATTTGGTTTGGGGAGAGAGACCTTTTTTCAAAAATTTAAAATGATTCCCCTTTTAATCTTTTTGTTAAAATATTTCCCTTTTGTCTGAGCTAGAATTGTTTACATTTTTAATTTAAAAATGCTGCAGAAAAAAACTGAACTCAAAAAAGAAAACCACGTCTGTCATGAATGAGAAGTAAATGACTTTTCATTTTGCTATACTAATCCAACAAAAATCAGACTTGCCCTCTTTGTGTAAATGCAGTGCACTGGTCACACAGGAATATGCAATATTAGCTGTGTAGCTAGGGTAATAGCAATTGGTGCAATTTAAACATATAAATGGAGACCAAATCCTACCTTTCATCCCAAAGGTAGTATCTTGAAAAAAGGTCATCAGATATAAGGGTTTTATAATTAAAGTGCTATCTCATCCTTAAACTATTGTATTGCTAAAGCAGCTCTGTACTGCCTTAAAGCCACATCCTGCCTGAGTCACTTGCTGACATCCCAATCCATGCATACAACATTACTTTCCTTCTGTGTTTATTAATGTTACAAATGCTGATTGTGTTATCATTGCTGGACTGAAAGTTCCGCTAACACAGCTACATAGCTCGGGGTGTGAAAAATCCACACCACTGAGTGATCTGGTTAAACCAGTGTTTCTTAAACATTTTAAGACCAAGGAACACCAAACAATTTTTTTTATGAGGAACACCAAGGATTTTTTTTGTTGAGCCAAAAAAAAAAAAGGTTGGCGGGAAAGTTATTGAGCAAAAATAGAGGTTTCCGGCCACTTTAAGGGCAGCCATTTTCAACTCTGTTGTTCTCCGCGGCACACCTCCAAATGCCTCACGGCACACCGTTGTGCCCTGGAACACAGTTTAAGGAACACTGGGTTAAACCAGTCTAACTCCGGTAGACAACATCTACCTTGCCTCTCAAGGAGGATTGGCTTTGCTGATGGCAGAGGATGGCATAGTGTCAATATTGAATCACTACTGGGATGCTGCTACAGTGTTGTAGATATGCTACCATAATGTTTCAAGTGTAGACTAGCCTTAAGACTGGAGGGAGGAACAAGTTAATTGCTGTGCTAGGAAGTGTGGATGTTGCCAGTAGGCAAGTCTTTGATCTATAGACAATCATAGACTAGATTAAAACAAAAGGAAAAACTATGTAGCACTTTAAAGACTAACAAGATGGTTTAATAGATGATGAGCTTTCATGGGCCAGACCCACTTCCTCAGATCATATTCTGGAAGAGAATTGGCATGACCATATATGCCAAAGGAATACAATGAAAAAGGTGAACACATTATTAAACTGACAAATCAGATTTATTACAGAAGGTGGGGTGAGGGAGAGGGAGGAAGGGAATAGCTATTTGAGTCCACGAATGGCTAATCATGGGTGATAAGTGGCAAAGCTATCTTTGTATCTTTGTTAGTCTATAAAGTGCTACCAGACCATTTGTTGTTTTTATCTTTGTAATGGTTAAGGTAATTAGCATCTTTGTTAAGGCCCATTCATAAAGTGTCAAATTTAAGCATGAAAGAAAGTTCTGAAGTTTCCCTCTGTAATCTGGTGTTAGTCTCTTTGAAGTAAGATG